ATATGGTGCTAAGCACTTATGAAGAATAAAGCAAGTATGGAATAAGGGAAAAACATTCGGCAACATCAGAAGCAGAAGCGTCGCGATCTGGCAACAGTGAAACAAGTTTCGAGAGTGACCACGTGTATCGACAGAAGGCGAGAAGAGAAAATTTACATACTTAAGTACTAATAGTTCACGCGAAAATAATAACTTTCGTGAACTATTATTACTTAAGTATGTAAAAATTTATTACATTTCCTGTTGTACGAGGGTTTTACCCAATTCTCGAACTGTGTCAGAGTAAATCCGTGCTATAAAAGTACCATGTTATACAGGGGATAGTACCAATTCTCTAACCGTGTTAGAGTGAATCCGTGCTATAGAAGTGCTGTGTTATACGGGGGTTACCTGTAGTTTTATTTAAACATTATTTTGAATAAAATATATAATCACTCCTTTTACAACTTACCTGCTTTCCATAAACAGGCTGCAAATTTTCTATTCCATCAGCACTCAATTTTTCAAGTTGAAAATTTCTATTAATAATAAGAGAAAAACACTCTGAGCTAAAATTAAAATTAATTAATATTAATTATGCTTTAGACGTTTATTTTATATATATATAAAATAAAGGTCTAAAGCATTTGTATGCTTATATGAACAATGCATATAGGATGATCAAAAAGTAACTTAAAACAGTGTGTAAAATTCAAGAATTGTAGAATGTAAGAAATTACCTAGATTTGGCAACACTAAACAGTTGTGATGTAGCATCTCCAAATGACAAAAAATATTAGAAAAGTGATCTTGTGAATAAATCGGAGCAATTATTTAACTTTTGTGAGCCAAAAAGATTTCACCAGCTGAAATCCATTATCAGTTTAACAAGATGTCAGGGATGAATGATAGGAATATCCAGTGCTTTTTTTGGGGAAAAAAATGTGGTGGATCGCTCATTTCATTACTAAATATATTACATGCATCGTTCACAAGATTCACCACACAAGCAGGAGCAGGATCGTCTTAATAACTTTGTTGCCGATCTTTTATGCTCAACAGAGCAACTCAACATGGACCAAACGTGAAATTTTCAAAATTTCTCTTAAAACTTAAAATATATCAAAAAAAGGTAGTGGAACACCATTCCATTGCATTCTGTGACAAAAAAACACTGGGAATACCACTTTGCAGAAAACTGCCTTTCAGCTTAGTATGACATATGGAAAGTATGTCTGAATACAGGGCTAGCACAGCCATATATTGAGATTGGCTGATGGATGAAGTGTAGAGGTAACTACATCAGGTGTCGAACTAATAAAAAAAATGTCATAATATTTATAGAAATATAAATACATTAGGGCTGCCTGGTGCCAAAATTATTTGGAATGCTTTAACATTTTTAAAATTTTCAATCTTTTTTGGAAATAAAGAATTGAAAATTTTAAAAATCCAAAATCATGACAAAGCCTTGCAGAAATAAAGAAACTTTTAAATGGTTGTTCTGGAAGAACTATTTTTTTTGAGTTGTGTCACTATTCTTGTGCACCAATGATAGGTAGTTGATGGAAAGTCTCAACCGGCCATAGAAGAGAGTTGCCCATAATTCCGAACGGCCATAAGAAGTCCCTATAATACCTTATAATGCATACATAAAAGTTAATAAGATTCACATTCTCCTCCCGATCTTCTCCCAACATAAAGAACGTAATGTCAAATGAAGACTAAGAATAAGCCTCATACATGGTACGTTTGTGAAGTCGAACAAGTCAAACGAGAATGACGTCATCTTTATTCTTATTTC